TCTTTCTCTCTCTCTCTCTGTCTCTCTCTCTCTCTCTTTCTCTGTCTCTCTCTCTCTCTCTCTCTCTCTCTCTCTCTGTTTCTATGTCACTTGCGCTCGTGCATGCGTGTGCACACGGCGCTCATTTTGTGGGCAGTTATATGTATACCCTTTCTTCTTTACATGTGTCAACTAAAATCTTCTTGATCTGTGTCGTCTGCATAACTGCTGCTGTCTGTAACCAGAAATTTTGTAAGACGACTTTTTCAGAAGTGTGACCATCTATGTCTTTTCTCTCCATGGGTGTTTGGCGGGTGGTCTGATGAGGCTTGCTCATTCTTTCCTATCAACCGTCTATCGTCCTTAACTCTCCTCCTTCCTTTTGTGTCTGTTACTCTCTTGTATCACCTAATGTCCTAATCTTCGACAATTATATGACCATATTGTATTGCAAATACCTTAAATCTCTTACTAAAACTAGTTTTGGTGTGGTTTGCTCCTTCTTTCCCACCAAACATCTATCGCCCTACTTTTTATATTTGTTACTTCCTTGCAACACCCCTAACCCTGGGCACTTTTATGACCTTATTGTGTTGCAAGTGCCGTTAAAAAAAACTAAATAAAACTTAATCTCCTCCTTTTTTGTGTTTGTTACTCTCTCGTAACACGTCAGATCTCTGGCACTTATATGACGGTACGTGGTTGGAGGGTGCAAGTGGTAGGTCCTTCTTCTTTACTTTCCCTTTGTTGTCTCTGTCTGTCTGTCTTACTTTCCCCAAGCACTAAAGGACCATTATTGTGTTGATGTGCTTCTCTTTACTCAAACTAACAAACTTAATTATATGACGTTATTGTGTTGCAAGTACCGTAAAACTCTTTCTGAAACTAAACAGTGGGTGGTTGGCGGGTGGCTCTGGTGTGGTTTGCTTCTTCTTTCCTATGAAACATCTATCGTCCTTATCTCCCCTCCTTCTTTTTTATGTTTGTTATCTCTTGTAACACCTCTAATCTTCTGGCGCTCTTATTACCTTATACAGTTGCGAGCGCCGTAAAACCTCAACTAAAACAAACATTACTTTTTCCCAGCAGTTAAGGACAGTTATTGTGTAGATGTGCTTCTCTTTACTGAAACAAACAAACTTATGTAACATAATTGTGTTGCAAGTGCCGTAAAACGCTCTCTGAAACTAAACAACAATGTCCCCTGTCTCTCCTCAGAGTACGCTGGGCGAGGAGGGTCTGTCGCTGGAGTTCCGGCACATCGCCAGCTACCTCATCTGGTACTGCAGTCACGTGAGCGCCGAGGAGCTGCTGCACGAGGTGGTGCTCTGCGTCGGCTACTTCTCTGTCCTTCATCCAGATAACCAGGTAAGCAAGCTCGTCGTTTG